TTTCTTCGGCAGTGACCGCGGCGGCCGGATCTTCGGCCGCCCCGGTCACCGCCGGCATTTAGGCAGAGGGAGCTGGGGCAGTGGAGCGCGGGGAGGGCCGCCTGCAGGAAGGGCGGGGGGGGGGGGGAGCGGCACGCAGGGGAACTCCCCGGCCCAGGTCACCCCTGCCCCACGTCCTCCCCGAGCACGCTGTGGCTCCTTCACTTCTCCCGCCTCCCAGGCTTGCGGCACTTAAGCTGATTGGCGCCGCAAACCTGGGAGGCGGGAGAAGTGAAGGAGCGACAGCGTGCTCGGGGAGGAGTCGGGACAGGGGTGAGCTGGGGCGGGGGGGGAGGTGCCTCAGGGTGGGGAGCTGCCGGAGGGGGGGCGCCTCAGGGCGGAGGGGGGGGAGCTGCCGTGGGGGGGGCGCAAGGTGGACATTTCGCCTAGGGCGCGAAACATCCTTCCACCGGCCCTGTCCGTCTACCCTCCGCTTGCCTGTCATTCTTCTCAGTATGTTAGTTTTTTGCTACCTCCGTGAGACCCACCATTTCCAAACTATATAGCAGGCAGGGACAAACACATGCAGCATACACTTTTCCTTGCAGTTTTACTTAATTGCTGGTCCCACAATACTCCTGCCACCTTTTTCACTCCTGCCCATGCACCTTGGGTTGTTCTTTTCAATTCTCCAGATCCCTCTCCAGTAGCACTAAGGGTATGTCTTCTCTGCAACTAAACACCCACTTCTGGCCCATGTCAACGGACTCGGGTTTGCAGGGCTATAAAACTGCAGTGTAGACACTCAGGCTGGAGGTCAGGCTCTGGGACCCCATGAGGGGGGAGGGTCTCAGAACCTGGGCTCCAGCCCAAGCTCGCATGTCTATACTGCAATTTCATAGCCCCACAGCCCGAGCTCAAGTCTTCAGACCTGGATCAGCCATGGGTGTTTTATTGCAGTGTAAATATACTCTAAGCGTACTTCCCAAGTACACAAATTCTTCCTTCTGCTTCAGCTTCTCTTCTGAAGCTTCAGTCAACAGCTCTTCTGGAGTTATGCAAGTCGGGAAGATAGAAGTTCTCTCTTGAGTTCGGACCCAGCCTCAGTGTCTCTTTCGTTAAATGAGAAGGGGGGAAACAATGAGAGAGACAAAACACCTGCCCAATCTCAACCCACCGAAGGGAAGAATAAAATAAAGCCACAACTCTGTGGCGACCAGAGCATCACCAAAGATGCAGCACACACTGGAAATTCTGCCAATGTTGGGGTTGTCTGGGCCCACAGATGCTTTTAGGCAAAGGATTTCATGTGCACACCAAGCTCAAAGTGAAAGTCCAGCCACAGCTTCTTCCATAGGCTTGCTGCACTAAGTGTATTCCTTGTAGAGTTTTGGGATTTTTTTTTTAAATAAATACGATGGCTAATAGCTCTGTAATTAGAATTGGCAGAAGTAAGCTATTAGATTTATTCAATAACCATTTTAACCATTTAACAGAGGGCTGTGTTTCAACATGTTACGCTACTTACAAGTTTATTCCTTTAAAAGGTTTAGCTATAAATCCGGGATAGTAATGTATTGCTATCCTGGGACGTGCTTTCACAAGCTATTGGTGTGTGTTTTGGAGGAGCCGTGATACCCAAGTCTGAAGGAGGGTCTGATCCTGACCTCATACCGATGTCAATCAGGAGTAACTCCTCATTGCAATCAGTGGAGTTATAAAAACAGTGCAAAAGGAAGATCAGGCCCAGAACATTTTCAGTACAAGAGATGTGCACCAAGCACCGGAACCAAAGCCCATTGCAGACAACGGGAGGCTTTTCCTTGACTCCAATGGGCTTTGGATTGGATCCCCAAAACAGCGTATTGCTATTCAAGTGTGGGCCTTAGCATTTTACTTTTAAACAAATGCTTTCAAACACTTTGGGAGGGGAGGGACTTTGAACTGTATCCTTCTACTGTGAACATAGTTCCTAATGAAATTATGAGGGGGAGGAAATTTAAACTGACCACTCCACATTACTGTTTTGCATACAGTCAGGCCAAATGCAGATGCCTAAAATTAGGCCCTTAAATCCATTTTTACGATCTTGGCAACATGATTTTTCAAAGGTCTGATTGGTGATTTTACAGCTGTGCTTGGAAAGGACTTTTGTAAGCTTTAGTAGTTACTGGGTTTGTTTGTTTGTTTTGTGTTTTTAAATACAGTACCAGAGGGATGTATGGCACTTTACCAAATAGTAAAAAAAGACATTTTGCCTATCAGGGGTTACTATTAAAGTTAGATCTAGTACAGCAAGCAACACCACAGGGAGAAGGTCAAGAGGTAGGTTGTCAGTTGCTTTATAAAAAAAAATAATCTTGTTCTAAGTTGAGGAAGTGAAAGCAGGAGTAAAAAAAGCCCAACTACCACCCAAAACCACAAGACTAGAAGTGAGCCTAGGAAGGCCAGCCAAACATAGCTAGTAGAGCTGAGCAGGAAATTAGTTCTCCCCGACCCCACCCCTACAGCAAATTCCAAGAATAAGAAAAAATTGTTTGTCAAAATATTGATTTTACGTATTTATTGACAAAAACAGGACATTTCCCCTGGAAGTTTCCACATCAACAAAATAACCATTTTCTGTCAACAACTCTTGGACTCTTGGATGGAAATTGTTTGACTAGTTCTAGTGGAGTCTTTAGGGAGGGATCTGAAAGAGTAAGGTTATCATTTATATTACAGTAGCATCTAGAGACCGCAACCAAGTTTGGTTGCAATAGGCACTATACATAGAGTAAGACAGTCCCTGCCCCGAAGGGCTTACAGTCGAAATAGGCAAGACAGCAAAAGGGCGTGAGAAAGGAAAGATTCTGATCCCCGCTTTACAGAGGAGGAGTGGAGACACAGTGATGAAGGGACATGCCCAAGGTCATGCAGGAAGTCTGTCCCAGTCCCACGCCTTAACCACAAGGCTATGCTTCCTCTCTACAGTTGCACATGATTATTACCGGCATGAGACGCAGCATTTAAACCAAAATACAGCATCCCTCTGTGGACTTCCCCTTTCTCCTACCTACCCGAGAATGTGAATGGACACCTCCCCTACAGAGGGTGAAAAAGGCTTCATGGGATCAGCCCAGTGTGCTCAGCTGATGCATGGTCACTATATATAACTGGATCCTAATAAACTTTTCTCTAACAGACTTCACTGTGCTTTCTATGTCATTCTGTGGAAAGCTGGTGGAACTAGGAGAAGCAACATATGTATATAAGCCCCTCTAAATACCAAACTAAACAAACTTACCAGAACAGCTGAGAATGACAGCTGCTCCAATCTAGAAACCTAAATAAGTGCACAAATCGAAGCCAGTATAACCTAGAGTCAATAGTTCATTATTGTTTGTATTGCAGTAGTGCCTAGAACTTAAAAGGCCCCAATCAAGATTGGGCCACCAATGGGGCAGGCACCATAGTGTCCACAAAGTTTGCACCCCTCTCCTGAAGAGTTTACAGTCTAAATGGAAAGACAAAAAGGCAGAGGATAAACAAAGGGAAGTGACTTGCCCAAAAATCACACAACAAATCAGTGGCAGAGCCAGGAGTACAATCCAGGGCTCCTGAGTTCCAGTCCAGTGGCCTAGCCACTAGGCCACCCTGCCTCTCAATCCAAACGTTTCAGTGGAGCAACTTTTAAGGCATACGCACTTCCATAAAGCCACGTCACTCCCATTATCAATGCCGTTTTGATCTGCCAGCCCTTCAGCAAAGCCTCATGGTCACCTGTTATCAGCGGACACATCTCCGGATGATCAGTAATCTCAGGCCTCAAAAACTCCTCCATATGAATCCCAAAACCAGCGGTATTCGTGGCCAGGAAGAGAAAGGCCCTTGCAGCTATCAACAGGGCTCTGTGTCTTAGTTTTGTAGTGTTTAACTATCCTTATCGAAAGCCACTTACCAGATCACACACTTACACCCCGACACCTTCCCGGAGACCAGCCTCTGGAGCCAAAAAGCAATTCACAATTCCTGGAGAGAGACAAAAGATTGAGCATGAGGTTAAGAATTGTGCCACCAGGAGTCCCTGAAGATTCTTGGAAAGCACACAGGGCACAATGCTGACCCTGACTATCACAGAGAAGGCTCCACGCCTAGGTACCGGCCTCTCAAGTTCATCGCTGGAGGAATGGGGTGAGCTGGCACCTCAGTGGAGTCATCCCACCCCATCCCCCAAGGTTCATGGACCCTGTTAAAAGGGAGCCCCTTTTTGAGTCTTTGCCGCATCGGCCTGACACCTGCTTTCCTCTGGTTGTCTTATAATGTACAGCCCCAGTTTTGTTGGGTGCTGTACGACAACTTCTCTCCTGGGAGGTCACACCCATTTCAGCCCCACCCTGAAACCTGAGCCCCAATCCTGTCTACCTCGTCCCCCACAACTTTCCTCATCCGTTGGGCAAGTCTTCAGCATGTCCCAGTTCTCTCTAGCTGACAGCTCAGCCTGTGGGCAGGTGAGTCCCTTTCCTGCACGTGGTGAGTTTTCAGGGAGCACAGATTGTAGGGATTGATATTTCTACACTTTAACCTGCACCTCCTGACTTAGTCATGCCCCTGACACAACTAGCATTTGAGCACCTGGGGCAACCCTGATCCTTCTGAACGAGACAGTGGGTGGGCTTCTCTTCTCTGCTCCCTTGGCACGCACAAGCCACTGGGCTCTCAGAGACCTTGATACAGCCAAACACTGGCTTGGAAAATTTCCTCGTCCTCAGTTTCTGTCTGAGCCCTTACACAGGCTCTCAGCTGACCACTCACTTTTGTGATCAGAAAAAAAAAATATATCAATCAGAATTTGTTGATTTAGCAAAATAAAAAAAAACCCACTTCAGGATTGTGTCCATTTTGAGAAAGTTCTGCCAGAAGCCAGGCAGGTGTCTGATGAAACCCTACCTGCCAGACAAGTTTTGAAACCTGCCTGGTTTCCAGCAGCCAGGCTATGGAAGCCAAAAGCCCAGAAGCCCTGGCTCCCAGTTCTCCATCAGCCCCGGCTGCAGGGTAGCCCAATGGGTGCCGTGCCCTGGAGACAGGGTTCCCAGCAGGGCTGGGCAGAGAACGGTGATTCCATTTAGGAAAAAATTTGCAATTTGGGGATTTTGTTAGGAATTGAAACAAAACCAGATCTCAAAAATCTCCATGAACTGCAATGACCATTCTCTACCCAACCCTACCACTCCCTCCTGTCCAAACTTCCAGTGCCTTGATTTGCCCATCTGAGAAATGAGAACAGCTCACTGCAGACCTCACTGGGATGTTGTGAGCACAAGTCACGATGTCTGTGAAGTGAGGGCACGAGAGAAGCGTGCACATTATCCCGGCAGAACCATCCCTCTAGTAAGCCCCTTTTAACAACTCTTTGGAGTGAGAGCTCAGAGTTCATTAATATATGGCAGCCACCGAGCTATCTGCCGGATCAGAACTGCTCTCCTTATTCAGAGAGACAAGGTGGGTGAGGCAATATCTTTTATTGGACCAACTTCTGTAGGTGAGCGAGAGAAACTTCCAAGCTCACACAGAGCTCTTCTTCAGGTCTCGGAAATGTACTCAGAGTGTCACAGCTAGATACAGAAGTTGGTCCAACAAAAGCTATTACCTCACCCAGCCTGTCTCTCTAATATCCCCCTACCAATGGTTACAATAACACTGCATATTCTTTATTCAGGGCATTTACTTTAAGCTTAAAAAAAAAGCCATGTTTGCTCTTGAGTGATGTTTAATAAAAGCTGGGGATTTTTAAAAGTTCTTATGGTAATAGGATCCCATAGGCGGGGGGGGGGAAGCAGCATTTAAAGTGAATAGCATTGTGCAGAAGCCTTTACAGAGAGAGACTGTGGAGAGTGTTCTGGTAAAGGGTTCATATGACTATTGAGGTCAATCGGACTTCCAGTGACCTCCATGATTTGGGATCAGGCCCTCAATGAGTGGGCCTAGGGTGGCACATAAATATATTCACCATGACCAGAATTTCAATTAATCCACATTGTGACATATCTAGGGTACTGTAAAGATGACACTTGGGCTTAGTGTACATGTGAAAATTGGGACAGCCCAAAATGCAGATAGTTTAGAACACAAGACGCATCCCTGACCTCTGTGCAGCCATCCAGCTGAAAAGAGATTCCAAACAGGTAGGGTTCAATCCTGCACTAACAACAAGGAGTCTGATGGCACCTTAAAGACTAACAGATTTATTTGGGCATAAGCTTTCATGGGTAAAAACCTCATTTCTTCAGATGAAGAAGCGAGGTTTATGCCCAAATAAATCTGTTAGTCTTTAAGGTGCCACCAGACTCCTTGTTGTTTTTGTAGATACAGACTAACATGGCTACCCCCTGATACTTGACAATCCTACACTATCCACCCCTGAAGCCCCTTTCACATCTAGCTGGGATCCCCCCACCTCAATCCCACTTAGCAATATGAGAAGAGCAGAGTGGTCATTGTTTCATGTAGCAGGGGTTGAGGAGTCCACATTTCTAAAACCAAACCAGCTCTTTGTTAAGCAGTGCTACCACTGCAGGTAATATTCCAGCCATGTGCACACAGACTAGCTTCCTGGTGCCTCCTCCAAACTCTTCCCTCCAAGTTCCATGCAGATTGCTACAGTCATGACCCTTTGGCACTGGTTTGTGATACCCCAAGCTGAGAACCCCTGGTGTATCATTTTCGAAGAAGGATAGGCAGCGTTCACCCTTCACGACCTTTCAGAGATACCACTGCTCTGGTTATCAGGACGGGGATTAATTTGGTGCTGAAATCTCCCCCTGCAGGATAGAACATGAGGCTAGCTACTGCACCAGTGATGACTTATCAAACCTTTGTTTAGCGCCAGTTGATCTCATGTGTGAACAATGGAGCTAAAGTATTATCTCCTTACAGCTATCAGCACCGTGGGTTACCACCACATGTAGCAGACCCCAGCACTCCCAAGGCAATAAATACCAAGTGCAATGAAACCCGTAATGAAATCTCAGACTAAGAGGCTATTGATTGTCTAATATTTTCTTTTAAAATGTACATGAATGGGAGAAGATGCTTTTTTGGGGGAAGACAGTCAATGGCTCAAGCAAAGGGGCCAGAAGGAAATGCCACAGACATTGTGCTTACTCCAAAGTAGCCTGATTTTGCAACAAACACTTTCAGGCATGTATCTCCATTCTCCTGACAAGCTTTAATTAGGCATCAAAACACTCCTGTGAGGAAAGTATATTACTGCCCTGAAGTGGAGCGAATCCATGACTTCCATCGACCTCTGGGACATTTTCTGCCCCGGGGCTGGAGCTCCAAGC